AGGATGTAATACTAATGGATTTAATCAAATTGTTAAACAAGCAAAATGGTATGGACTTCATTCTTTTACTTATTTAAGAATGACTAGAGCTCTTCTTGATGATGGAACAGCTTGGGGACAATTTTGTTCCTTTGTTAATTCGATGAGATAAGTATTTACTTTAAATTATATACAACATGTTTTCTTTTTTAAAGTTAAAAATGAAAATAATAATATTTACTCAATTTTTTGTTACGGTTGCTTTAATTGATTGACTTAATATACTAATAAAGTTCTTCATTAATTAAAAATATTCTTCTCCTTCTTCTATTGATTGGTTATCTTCATTAGTTGAATTAAAGTATTGTTCAATATCTTCTGTTTGATTTTCCATATATTGGTATGGTTGAAATTCTTCTTCTTCAGTACGACCTTTATTTTCTTCATTTCTAAGCCAATCCTAAAGTTTAAAATCAGTTAAAACATAAAGTAACTATTAGTTAGAGAAACAAACGCACATAATTTCATTTTTACCTAGTTTATATAATTGTGCAACAAACTGTTCAAAACTAATACCAGGACGTACATTCTTTCCCCAAGTTTTATATATTTCAAGTAATTGACTAATGTTCTGAAGATAATCTTCATTTTGGTGTAATAAAAAATCTTTTAATAAATTTTGGAGATGTGGAATTCCTGTCTTTTCATTTACCAAATCAGAGATTTCAACTCGAGTTTTAACTCGCTCCGCTTTCTTCTTTTCGTTTTGTTCAATATCTTCTTTAGAATTTCTTTGCATCTAATTGGAAAAAAAATGAACTAAATATTTCAGTACTTGACCCTTTCTCAGATGGACTTTGGAGACGATCAAGATTTCGTCACTTTTGACATTGGGTCTGCTGGTGACTTTGATGACTTTGACTTTTCTACTCCAGAAAACCCCCCTGTTAATCAACCGAATTCTCAAATAGGTATGAAATCTGTTTCACCAATGTTATCTCCTACAGTTATCACTTCTGTAGAACAAAACGAAAGTGCAACAAGTCAACAATTAAGAAACGTTGCTGTTGAAGGAAATATCAGTGAAGAAATTGAACCACCTTTATTAGAGGAATTAGGAATTGACTTTTCCTTAATAACAAAAAGAATTATTTCAAGACTAAATCCATTTGGTTCAATAGAAGCAATAGAAAGTGATGTAATTGGTTCTTTATTCTTTGGGTTATTACTTGGTGTATCTATACTATTAACAGGGAAATTTAGATTTGGATATGTTTTTGGATTTACTATTATTGGTTCTTTAGCAGAATATTTTATATTAAACCTATTGTCAAATAAAGACATTGACTATTTCGTTGTTTTAACTAATCTTGGATATTCATCATATCCACTTGTTCTTCTTGGTATTGCTTCACTCTTTGTTTCGTTTGTTTCTTTTTTTACATTATCAAGACTATATTGTAATAACTTCATTAGAAATATAACAATTCTTATTATTATCGCAATTTTCGCTATTGTCTGGTGTACATATGCTAGTAGTCGTTTATTTACTACTTTACAAGAAATTGTTGATAAGAAGATTCTTGTTGCTTATCCAATGGCATTGTATTTTATCCTTTTTGTATTATTAGTAATGTGCTAAGAAAAAGTCAGCAACAAAAAGGATTAAGCGTTATAATTCCAAGTCGTATTACTATTTTTTGTTTTACATCACGAAATTTAATATAAAAACTTTAAAATAGAAGAAACTTAATAATATGAATCATGATTGCATTTGTTGATTCTATTAATCATTATTTATTATCAAACTTAACTCAATGCGCATATGATTTATCAAAACTATTATATGCACAATTACCTTCAAATGAAAATAGATTATTATTTGCTCAGTGTTTGTATAGAGTAGCAAAATATGATGAATGTCGTTCTCATCTTTCTGCACTTCCACCGTCTGAACAGTCAATGAACCTTCTTGGACTTTGTATTTTAGCAACAAAGAAATACTCTGCAGGTATTACTCAAATGACGTCTTTTGTTACTTCTCATAAGAATCCAGGTTTATATTATCTTCTTGGTGAGATGCATTTTCATTTAGGAAGAAGAAATGAAGCGATTCGATGTTTTGAGTCAGCATTAACAATTGATAGTAATCTGATTTCTGCTCAACTAAGAATTATTGAAATGGGAGAAGTATTATATCGTAATGTTGTTGCACGTTCATCTGATACTATTCCTTTTTCATATGAACAATTTCCAAGAAGAAGGTTATTTCCATCAGAAATTAATCCACAAAAAGAGTCAGAGAATGGTGTTGATGTCACAGCTATTAATGGATATCTTAAGAGTTGTGTTTCCATTGAAAAAGGAGATGTCATTAATGCAACAACTATAATGAAAAATGAAGTTAATTCAATTATTGGTTCAAATGAAGGATTATTACTTGCTGCTCGTATAAGTTGTATTGAACAAAACCCAAATATAACTGTTGCATTAGGAAGAAGTGCTGCTAGAATGTATCCATTTGCAATGAGCTTATATCCTTTTTATGGTGAAGCATTATATCAACTAAAAAGTTGGAAAGAATTACATGCACTAGCTATGAAATCTGGAGAATACAGATGGTGTTATGAGTCTTGGATTGTATTAGGATTTGAAGCACTTGGACTAAATAAGAATAGTGATGCTGTTACCTGTTTTGAGAAAGCACTATCAATTAAATATTGCGTCCAAAATGAATTATATCTTGCAAATGCTCTAATGAAAGACAAACAATTTCAAGATGCACTTAAACATTATAGAATAGTTATTCAATTAAACCCAAATAGTTATAAAGGATGGTGTGGTATTGCTTGTGCTTCATTAGAACTTAAGTTATATGCAGAGGCATTATCAGCATCTTCTATTGCAATTGGATTAAGTAATACTATTGAGGCATTAACTGTTGGTGTTATTGTGTCTATGAAAATGAAGAAATATGATCAGTCAATAAAATGGATAAATTCATTATTAAATTTAACTCAGTCAGTGGAAATTCGTTTAAGAAAAATAGTTTTATTAGATTCTGTTGGAAATATTCAACAAGCAATAAAAGATATTAAATTATTGAGAGAAGAATCAATGAATGATGTTACTGTTAGACTAGTATATGCTCGGTTATTAAAAAAGACTGGAAATATTCAAATGGCTCTTGAAGAATATGAAATGCTTAAACAACTCTTTCCTAAATATCGTTTAGCTCTTGAAAATGAAATTGATAAAATGAATAATGGAGTAATAGGTGAAGAAGTATTGGCATTCCCTGAATGGATTGGATATTAATAATACAAATTTAATTTTGTTTTTTAATTTTGTTTTTATAAACAAAAAAAAAATAGAAAAAAATCGATAGGAACTAAAAAAAAAACTGAAAGAATTACTTTTGACAGATGAAATCTTTCAAAGAACCTCCAAAACATTCTATTAAATTAAGAGAACTTATTGAACGAGTTAAGGCATGTAAAACTATTGAAGAAGAAAAAATTCTTATTACAAGAGAATGTGCTGATATCCGAAGTACTATGCCAGAAAATCAATATAAAACAAGAAATGTAATGAAATTAATTTATTTAGATTTATTAGGATATAATACACAATTTGCACAAATAGAATGTCTTGCTTTAATTTCATCACATGAATTTCAAACAAAAAGAATTGGATATTTAGCATTAGGATTATTACTTGATGAAAACCAAGAGACATTAACATTAATTATTAATCATTTACAAAAAGATCTTGAAAGTGATAATCAAAATATTGTTGAATTAGCACTAACGACAATAGCTAATATTGGTAGTGAAGAGTTATGTCAAGTAGTTTCACCTCATGTCCTTAAAGTTTTTAATTCAAGAATAAGAAATGTACAAAAGAAAGCTATTGCAGCAGCATTACGTATTATTAAAAAATGTCCAAATCTTATTGACCAATATATAAATCCTGTTATTGGATTTTTAAATAAATCTGAAAATGATTTTATTCTTCCTATAACTAAATTAATTATTAGTATTATTACTCATCCATCGTTTCAACATGCTTTTGATTCTTGTATTCCAATTCTCATTTCGATATTAAATAAAAATACTCGTGGAAATGGGTTTGATGTTTCACTTCAAGCATGTATTTGTTGTAATATATTGGACTTATTAAAAAAAATTTATACAAAGAAATATATATTTGATATTGAAGATGTATTGTCTGATATTATTATTAATTCTCCAAAAAATAGTATTGGAATTTGTGTTGGATTTGTTGCTGCTCAATGTGCATTAGAAATTGAGTGTGATTCATTAGTAAAAGAGATGGGAATAAATTATATTATTAGATTATTATATGATGAATATCCAAATACTCGATACGCCGCTTTTAGATATATTGAATTAAGAACAGAATCAATTTGGAAATTTTTAATTCCTTTTACTTCAAGAATTCTTGATTGTCTTGAAGATGAGGATGAAGGAATTAAACTCTTTGCTTTACACATTTCTGCTCAATTAGCTCAATATGGTTCTCAAAAAGAAATTGTCCATCATATTATTACTTCATTAGGAGAAGGTGAAAAATATACAAAAGAAGCCTCAAAAGTTGTTTGTGATTTAGTAGAGCTTGTGGATGCAGAGGCTCAATGGAAGTTTGACTGTTTATTAAATACAGCAATGGAATCAGACAAATACATAAATGAAAATATTACACAACGACTAATTAATATAATTGCATTAAATGATATCCAAACTTATGCCGTTACTAAATTATTCCCATTAATGAGAAGTGCCTCTCAACCAATTAAAAAAGCTGCCGTCTGGTGTGTTGGTGAATATTTTGATTTATTAAAAAATGTGGTTAAAGAAGATATAATAATTAATGAAGTTATTAGGTGTAATTGTGAAGAATTAATTAGAATAACTGCGTTAGCTAAAATTGCTGCACGAGAAGGCGAAAAAGAACGAAACAATGTTGGTAAATTATTAGTTCAATTTAAAGGTGGTCATTCATTCGAAGAAAACCAAAGATATAATGAAGCCATTGCAGTGTGTAACAAAGGTGAGTATGTGAATGGTTGGAAAAGAATGCCTGCAATAGAAGAAGTCACTGAGTTTGGTCATGATAATTCAAATATTTCAATTACTCTCAAAAAACTTGATAAAAAAGAACAATTAAATATTATTGAAGAAGATAAAATACAACAAACAACTTTAGAAAGGCAACTACCATCTCTACAAAACAGTTTTACTTCTACCACTACTACAACTCTTTTAGATTTTAATAATGGAAAAGAAGGAAAGAGGAGTGATATTTTATTCAACCAACCAGCTAATTTACAGACTAACAACTCTTCATTAAACGATATACTTGGTTTTGTTCCTCCTACTCAAATAAAACCTTCTAAATATGATATATTAGGTTCAGTTGAAAATGATCAAAAAAATCAACAACAACAGTCTGTTGCACCATTGATGTTCGATCTTATTGGAAATGATTCTATAATAAACAGTGATTCTAAAAACGAAAATCAATTCATAGAACCTCAACAGTCCATTGTTTCAGATGAAAAGAAAGAAAACACACAAATCAATAATAATGAAAATGATGACTTTGAATTCACAGAATATATACCATCTGCACCTGTTGAAAAAATTATTGATGTTTGTCAAGATGCATTTCTTCATATCCAATTCAAAATTAAGAAAAATGGGGATGAGTGCATTGTTGTTACGGTATTTAAAAACATAGGAAATGAAAATATCAAAAATATTGTCTTAAAAGTAGCTGCTCCAAAAACTATTCATGTTGATGTCCAATGCATAGAAAAAGAAATAATTAACCCTCAAGAGGAAAGTATGCAACTATTTACTACAAAAGGACAAGTTAATGGAAATGTTCCTGTAAAGATACGAGTTGAATATTTAAAAGGAACTGAACAAAAAGTTCTTCAATCAACACCAGTAATACTCAACCAATGAAAACTGATTTAATTTTTTCATCATTAAGTCTTTGTTTTTTTTTTGTCTCAATGAGTGATTGATTGTATTGAATTACATGGTATTGTAAGTTTTTTTGTTTTCAAATATTCATAAGGTTTACTAGGAAGTTATGAGTCAGATATATTATAAGAATAAAGAGGAAGTTTTGGTAACTCAAAGAATTGGATAAACACCTAATATTATATCACTAATAAAATACTTTTGTTGATATTGTGTTTTCAGAATAACTTAGGCATAAAGTTTTAGTCTTATATGTTATTAAGGCTAATAATAATCTTCTAATGTAATTTAGAGAAGAAAAAAGTATATTACACAGTGTATAAATAAAATAATAATAACAGTTAATTGTATCTATTCTTTATAAGAGAATTATAAATGTCTTAAAAAAGAATAAAGGTTTATTTGAAAATAAATAAACCAACAAAGTTACTTTTTAAAATTGTTTAAACCACCTATTTGTTTAAGTAAATGTGAAATTAATTTTAATGTCTTCACCCTTTTAACGACTTCATAGAATTTATTTGAAAAGATAAAGAAAATTTATTTGTTTGTTCAATTAAATAAAAATGGAAATTAATAAAGTGAAAATTGTTATTGAATTGTTTGAATAAAAGACAATGGTGTCATTGATTTCTTGACTTAAAATAAAGGTAAATTGAAAAACATATTCCAAAAATAAACACACAAATAATGCAAACTATCAATACTGTTGCACTTACCCACCACAATGAAGTAGTTGGTTTAACAAATATATAATCTGGACATGATGTTTTATAATCTTCTGGGATTTCTGGTACTATTCCATGTCAGTGTTAAAAAACATTTAATAGCTAAATGAGAAATAACAAACAGAATGCTGACGTTCTATTATTACATAGGTTTGTAATAAAGTAATATGGTACAGTTATCTCTTCTTCTCCAATGATCAAATTCAATGAAATTAACTCAGAAATATTATTCGTTTTGTTTGATGAAATAAACTTAGTGTTTTCTAAGAAATAAACTCCATGCTTTTCAATATCCTTCTTTTCACCTTCGTTTACATGAATTTTAATTGTCGTGTTAAAGTCAACAATGACGGTGTTAATATTATGTTTGTTCATAGACTGATAATTTAATTCAATTGAATTTGATTTTAATGTTTTAATTGAAGATTCTTCTTCTAAAAAAATTGAGTTACATTCAATGACATTACCATTTAATCCTTTTTGATAATGTAATGTAGAAAGAGGAAGATGAATAGAGTTAATATGAACTAAAGTTGAAAAAATAATAAAATCACCTGACATAATTGAGTTAATATCACCATCGTTGATAGAAACTATTATTTCATGAGGAGGAAGTAATAGTGAAGTTATGTGTGAAGTTAATTTAATGTCTGTTTGGTTAGATTTTGAATAATCCAAAACACAAATCCCAGAAGTACACAAATAATTGTTTGTTGGATCTTTTATATATTCTATTGAAATACAAATTCCATTACTTAGTTGATATCCTTCGTCACAACTTATACATTCAATGTCATTACATTTGTTACACCCATACATGCATCCGTAAGTTTGTATAATGAGGATAATCAATATGAACATCATCCCACTGAAACTAAAAAGTTGTTTAAAACCCTATTTTCTATTTTGACTCGTTGTTATGTTAATTAATTGATAATTCAAATTGTATTCAAAAACAATTCAATCACCGTCGAGTATTAACATACCATCATAATACAAAAAGATAAAACAACTATTACATAGTTAATTTATCAATGCTCAAACAAGAGGCAATAAAAATACCTCTAAATTATTATTTTTAAATATAATGAGAATTGCCTGAGAATCAAAATTTATATAAGCATTCTTTTTTTCCATCTTTCTGTTATCATTATTTTCTTTTTTTCATTGAAAACTACCACACTCATTCCTTTCTATTATACTCAGGTAGTGTGTGCTATCTTTTTTTTAAAGCTAAATATTTATTATTTTTGTTGAACAATAAGACTACTATATCTTATTCTCTTCAAATATCCTCTTGTTCTTTTGTTGTGATTTGCAATAAGAATGATCAAATTCATTTGGGATTTTGATATAAGTTAATGTCAAAAATGGAAATAAATAGATGTAGAAAATGAAGGAAAGTCAATGACTATGAAAGAAATAACAATGGAAAAATGCTAAAAGATAATGAAACATCAAATATAAATACTAAATAATTCAAAAGAATAAAAGAGAAAATACATCAT